TCCAATTCCCTCTGGAATGAATCCAATCCCCCTCTGGAATGGAATAAATCCAATTCCCTCTGGAATGGAATGATTCCAATCCCCTCTGGAATGATTCCAATTCCCTCTGGAATTGTTCCAATCCCCTCTGGAATTCTCTCTCCCCAGACCAGCGAGGAGGTGGCAGCTTCTCTGACGGGGCTGCAGCTCCCTCCTCGTCCTCGCCGCAATTCCCGTCCCCGTCCCCGTCCCCCCAGAGCCGTCCCCGTCCCCGAGGAGCTCGACTGGAGGGACAAAGGATGTGTGACCGAGGTGAAGAACCAGGTGAGAGCTCCTGGGTGGGATCTGACACTCCTGGGGCAGTTCTGGGGTGTTCTGGGGCAGATTTGGGGCAGATTTGGGGTCGCTTTGGGGTCGCTTTGGGGCATCTCTGGGGCAGTTTTGGGGCAGATTTGGGGCAGATTTGGGGCATTTCCTGGGGCCACTCTGGGGCAGCTTTGGGGTCGCTTTGGGGCAGATTTGGGGCAGATTTGGGGCATTTCCTGGGGCATCTCTGGGGCATCTTTGGGGCAGCTCTGGGGCCACTTTGGGGCATCTCCTGGGGCATCTTTGGGGCATCTCTGGGGCCACTTTGGGGTCACTTTGGGGCATCTCTGGGGCAGCTCTGGGGCATCTCCTGGAACAGCTCTGGGGCATCTTTGGGGCATCTCTGGGGCCGCTTTGGGGCATCTTTGGGGCAGCTCTGGGGCCACTTTGGGGTCGATTTGGGGCAGATTTGGGGCAGCTCTGGGGCCACTTTGGGGTTGCTTTGGGGCATCTCTGGGGCATCTCCTGGAGCAGATCTGGGGCAGATTTGGGGCATCTCTGGGGCAGATTTGGGGCATCTCTGGGGCCACTTTGGGGCAACTCTGGGGCCACTTTGGGGCATCTCTGGGGCATCTCTGGGGCAGATTTGGGGCATCTCTGGGGCCACTTTGGGGCATCTCTGGGGCATCTTTGGGGCCGCTTTGGGGTCGATTTGGGGCAGATTTGGGGCATCTTTGGGGCACCTTTTGGGGCATCTCCCAAACCTCTCCTGAACCTCTCCTAAACCTCTCCTAAACCTCTCCTAAACCTCTCCTAAACCTCTCCGCAGGGCTCCTGCGGTTCCTGCTGGGCTTTCAGCGCCGTGGGAGCTCTGGAGGGGCAGCTGAAGCTGCAAACGGGGAATTTGGTGTCCCTGAGCGCCCAGAATTTGGTGGATTGCTCGGGGATGTACGGGAACAAAGGCTGTGCCGGGGGATTTATGACCGAGGCGTTCCARTACATCATCGACAACGGCGGAATTGAGTCCGAGGAATCGTATCCCTACACGGCTCAGGTGATGCAAAAACAGCTCCCAGGATGATTTTTCCAGAAAAAAAATGGTTTTGGCAACTCCTGTTTTTATCCTCATCATCCTCCTGGTGTTGTTTTTGTTCCGGATCCAAACCCATCCCGGGAATTTGGGGTTATTTTTAGGGAATGACGGGGATTCCTACCCGGTTATTTCAGCGTTTCTTAAGCAATTGGAGCTGGAGGGGAAGGGAAAAAAAAAAAAAAAAATGGGTCAGGAGCGTCCTGGAAAAAAAAAAAACATCCCGGGAATTGGGTCAGAGCAGCAGGGAAAAGCGGGAATTTCGAATGGGAATTTTAAAAATTCATSGAATTTCCCCAATTTCTGCTTGATGAGAAAATTCAATACTCGAGTGCTGCGGGTTCTGCATCGAGCTGCTCTTAGCACGAGGAATTTTGGGTTCAGCGCAGGTTATGGAGCTGATAATTAAATTTATACTATTTATA